ATGTGCAGGTTAGGGTGGATTGGCCATGGGAAATAGCTCATAGTGTCCAGGGATATGCAGGCTAGGTGGGTTAGCCGTGGGAAATACTGCATTACAGGGAAAGGGTAGAGGGGTAGGTCTGGTTGGGATGCCCTTCGGAGGGTCGATGTGGACTCGATGGGCTGAATGGCCTGCTTCCACACTGTAGTGATTCTATGAATCTCATCATGATGCATTTCACAGTTTTTAAAGCACAAGAAATGGCCTTTCGGCCCATTAAGTTGATGCCAGTGTTGCTGTTTCATGCTAATCTCTTCCCATCCTTCCTCATCTGGCTTTATGACCTTATTCCTATCTCCCACACGCTTTTACATCGCTTTCCCTTACATACATTTGATTTATCAACGTCATCCACCTCATCGCTACCTTGGGAAGATTGCAAAATGCATGAGGAAGCAGAGGATTTTTTTGCAAAACAAAACATAGCCTTTTTTGTGATCATTGGACTTAAGATTTTTGGCCTGCAGCTCCAATTATTTGATGGAAACATGCTTGGGAGGCCTTGTGGAGCAATGGATGATATCCCTGCCTCCAGGAGCTCCAGATTTAAGCTTGACCTGAAGCTGTGTTCATAACAGAACCAAAGAGGTCGAATAGTGACCTGCAAATCCTTCCAACGTCCATCAATGGCAGGCGATAAGAGAGCAGAAGACATCCCTGGTCGGCCAGGAGTGGAAAATAAAGTCGGATTTGGGAACATCACTATCCATAGCTCCAGGCTGCAACACGCATGTAATAGTGAGTGTTGCCACAGAAACGTAGCAACTCCCTTCAGCGAGGCCTAATACACTACTGCCTTGTACCTGTGAACCCATCTCGCTGGGGCTGAGGGTTGGGAATGGAATGGGGCATTGGATGACGGGAAGGAGATGAAGATGAAAAAGATGGTTCAGATGGAATGGGGACTGAAGGAAGGATCTTGGCCATCAGAGATCCTAATTTCACTGCAAATGGTTTGAAGTCCTCACACACAGCTCACGAGAAACTCTTGTTGGGAGTATGGAGTTCAATAAAGTGAATCTAAATCTGCCAGGCACCTATTTTAAGCCCTTAGTTTGTTCTGCCGGTGCATGAGCTATCATGTACCCGAGCAGCCACTTACCATCAAACATAGCATGGCTGTACTGCGTCGTGGAGGCGTGCAGTTTGCACGACTTGTCAAACTTGTTGCCGTAATTGCCCACGCTGACCTCAAACTGGACCGGCTCCTTCACATCCTGCATTTGCGTAGCCGAGTAGAACACGACGCAAAGGCTGTACCTCCGCCTCTGCAAGTACCTCTGAAAGTAGCAAATCAAAGAGACTCTTCACTTTGTCGCAGGGACGGAAAACTGGGTATCTTTGTGATACCCAGTTTATGAAACTACTCAGTCTTACAGCTCCTTGTTATACACCATAGAACCCCTACAGTGTGGAAGCAGGCCATTCGGCCAATTGAGTCCACACTGACCCTCCCAAAAGCATCCCACCCAGATCCACCCTCTTCCCTATCCATGTAAACCCTGCATTTCCCATGGCTAACCCAGCCTGCATTTCCCTGGACACTATGGGCAATTTAGTATGGCCAATCCTAACCTGCACATCTCTGGAGCAGTCCCATCTGTTTTGCTCTTATACATTAAAAGATCAACCTGTCTCATCCTGAGATGATACTTGAACCCAGGACCTTCAGGCCCACAAATAGGGTTACTGCAACTGTGCCAAAACACCCTCTGATTATATTTTTAATCAACACGTTCGGAGACGTTGCTACACACCTCTAGAGCAAGTGGTACTTCAACCTGGGCCTCCTGATCCAGAAATAGGGATACTACGCTGCATCACAAGAGTCCTGATCCCCCATTGCATCTACCCAGTCAATCAATCAACTGACCCCCATTTACACACTTAATTACTTGCGATATTCACATCATTTATAATAACAACAGCTTGCATTTACATAGCAATATTAACATGATAAAGGCATAATCAGACAAAGTTTGACCTCAGGAAACTGGACTACACAGTGGTGGGTTTTAGGGAACATTTTTAAAAAAAACAGGGTGAGAGATTTAGGGATTGGAGTTCCAGAGCTTTGGGCCCAAGTAGCCGAAGGTTTTAGTTTAGAATTCATCCTTGGGATACAGGTGTCATTTCTGTTGCCCATCCCTAAGCCTCTGAGAAGCTTCTTGAACCATTGCAGCCCATGTGCCATAAGTTCACTCACAGTACTTTTCTCTGTAGTGGCTTGATGAAACTGGGTGACTTGGTTGACTCGTTCAGACAACGGTGAAAAGCCAACCACGTCGCTGTGGGTCTGGAGGGATGTGTAGGCCAGACTGGGTAAAGATCGCAGATTTCCTTCCCTCGTGGGCATCAGTGAACTCCAGCTGCCATAGTGGGATTTAGAACCCAGTTCTCATTTGTCCAGGATCACTTGCCACTATGCTACCAACAATGTTGGAGGAGCCGACGGAGATAGGGACGGCGCAAGATCATGAGGCATTTGAAAACAAGGATGAGAACTTCAAGGTACTGCCAGACCAGGAGCCAACATAAGTCAATGAGAACGTGGCCTACGGGAAAAAGGGGCCTGGTCTGAATGACAATACAGATTTGGTCGAGTTAATGTCAGTGGAAGATGGAGGTCAACCAGCAGAGCATTGAAATAGTCATGTCTAAAGGTGACTAAGGCTTGAGATAGGGTTTCAGCAGCTGGTGACTTGAAGCAGGAATGAAAAGGGGCAGTGTTAGCTGGGATGTGCAAAACCATGCACAAAAGTGGATTTACCAAAATGGTTAGGCGTGATGAAGACTTCAATTGTGTGGAGAAACAGCGGGTTTGCTCTTCTCACAGCAGAGATGGTTAAAGGAAAACATAATCGATGATCAGTAATACCTAAATTTTCATACTTAGGTACCTTCAGACCTAAGATGGCGTTATATGTGGCGACACTACACACTTTGCACTGTACTCCTGCACTTGAGTACATATGACCATAAAGCTAAAATCTTAACAACTTTCAAAAGGGAATCTGACATATGATTGCGACGGAAGGGAGCCACGGGACCTGGTGATGCAGGGGTTGGGGAAGAGCAGGGAGGGCAGTGGGGCTATTTGGATTGCTCCAACACAGGATAGAAAGGCCAAATGGCCTCCTTTTGTGTTGCCTTATTAGGATTTTTTTATTCAATGCTGGAGCCTGAGCAAAAAGTGTAGGCAGATTGGTGGACTGAAGATATTCTTTCTCTCTCTCTCTCTTGATATAGGGGAAGGAGCCCTGCCAATTGCAATGGACAGAGGCAAGGAGGGAGCCTCTGTGCAAACACAGAAGCTTTCAGTACAACAAAGTGAAGAAGCAGATCTTCTTGTAGAATGAGGGAACCCAATGCTGTTTAAACACTATGCTGCCTTGGCAATTTAACAGCAGCACAGTTTAGTTGAACCCTTTGCCTGCAGCAACAGCAGTGCTCAAATGAACACTCGCTCTTCCACTCGCAAGAAATCCCCAATTCCCAAGGATCATTTCCAGTCTGCGTGGAAACGATGGGTTTATGGTACAAATACCTGTACAATCGAGAAATCTTCGAACGACAAGTTGTCAACGGTTTTCCCTAAAGTTTCGTCCATCCTCGTGACCAATTCAATCAAAATCCTCCCTCGATAGGAGACTCCTTCACTCTGTGAGCGAGAGAATCAGGAGAAAAATCGGAATGTTACATGAAGATAGTGTGCCAGATCTGGCTCTCTCCCATCTCAACACTTCATTGTGCAATTTATTCAGCCAAGTACACCCTTCTTGGCCCTTTTATGTTGAAAGTGAAATGCATACTTAAGCAGGATAACCAGTGAACCATCTTTAATTCTGGCCATTCCTTGTCATTACTAGATTCAGTCCCCCTTGATCTCAAGTGAATCTTCCTCCACATCTCATTCCTGAACACATTGCACCTCTTGACTCCTTAATAGCTTTGACTATCATCTGAATACTCTATTGCTCCCACTGGAACAGACAGAAAGGGATAGTAAGAACTGCCAATGCCGGAGTCTGAGATAATACAGTGTGGAGCTGGAGGAACACACCAGGTCAGGCAGCATCAAAGAAGCAGGAAAGCTGACGTTTCCGGTCTGAAGAAGGGTCCAGACCCGAAATGTCAGCTTTCCTGCTCCTCTGATGCTGCCTGGCCTGCTGTGTTCCTCCAACAGACAGAAAGGAGCTGCTCTGTTATGCAGTCCCCTCGTTCCCTGCTAAACACACCCCTCCCAGCCTCTCCCAATGAAATTAATACTTTGTACTCTTCACTCTCAAATATCTTGAGGGCGAAACATTCTCCTCACTCTTTCTTCCCTATATACTAACTCACCATGTTGAAGTGAAGGTCCTGCATGAGTCTACCTTTAATTTCTTCAATATTGATCCACTCTCCAGCAAACCAACAGATTTTTAAACACAATCCTGCCTTTGTTTTTAATCCTTGGATGTGGACATCACTGGCCGGGCCCAGCATTTATTGCCCATTCCTAATTGCCCCCCTTGAGAAGGTGGGTGTGAACCACCTTCTTGAACCGCTGCAGTCCCCTGTGGTGTAGGGACCCCCACATGGTGCTCTCAGGGAAGGAGTTCCAGGATTTTGACCCAGCGACACTGAAGGAACGGCCGATATATTTCCAATTCAGAATGGTGAGTAACTTGGACAGGAACGTACAGGGTGTGGTGTTCCTATGTATCTGCTGCCCTTGTCCTTCTAAATGGAAGTGCCTGTGGGTTTGGAAGGTGCTGTTGAAGGATGAGTTGCAGCAATGCATCTTGTAGATGGCAAACATTGATGCGACTGAATGTTTGTGGATGTTGTATCAATCAAGATGGCCGCTCCGTCCTAGACACTGTCAAACTTCTTGACAATTGTTGGAGCTATAGTCATCCACGCAAATGGGGAGTATTCCATCACACTTCTGACTTGTGCCTTGTAGATGGTGGACAGGCTTTAGAGCATCAGGTGGTGAGTTACTCGCTGCAGGACTCCCGTCCTCTGATCTGCTCTTGTAGCCACAGTATTTGTACGGCTAGTCCAGTTTGAGTTTCTGGTTAATAGTAATCCCCAGAATGTTATAGCGGCTGACTGCAGGAGATGTTGAATTGTACAATGGCGATGCTGTTGCATGTCAAGAACTAGTGATTAGAGGGAAGGGGTGTCATTGCCTGGAAGCTGTGAGTTGCAACCTTTGCTTGCCACTTATCATTCCAAGTCTCAACATCACCTAGATCTTACTGCATACAGTTTGACAAAGCAGACTGAGAAATAATGATCGAAAATATTTTGCAGGAAACTGTTCCCGCTAACAAGGGGTTAGTATTGACAGAACACAGGAGCTCAGATCCAAAATGTTGGAAGTAAGGATGAGCAGTTTTGTTTTTAAAACACTGAGTTACAATCTGACATGCACTGCTTGGTGAGGAGGTGAAATACATTTGGAATTCAATAATACTGTGCATTTATGGGGGGTGAGATCAAAAGAAGAGGGACTCAGCTCTTTGAAAAAGCCAGCATTAGGAATGCTGGGTCAAATGGACACTTTCTGTTCAGCAACAGCTGCATCGCTGCCCATGACTTGATTTGGCCTTTTTTTCCCTCTTTGAAACTGCTGACACTGTGGGTGAAACTCTGTTAAGGAGACGAAACAAAGCCAGTCACCTTTCCGAGGTTGAGCTCGTCATACTTGTCAGAGCCGTCTAAGCCTTCCCGGGGGCTCCCGTACAGGTTCAGGAAGCACGGCCCAAACGTTGGCAGGAACCCAGGCGTTTCATCGTCTGCTCAGTTAGAAAACAACATGTGTTATTACCGAATCACCGACAAAGCAAAAGGCTTCAACACAGCCAACCACGGGCAGCAGAGTGTGGGAGGAGCTTTAGACCAAAGTGGGGTGTCAGTGTCCCGTAATAAATGAAGATCATTAATAAGCCCAACTGGGAATTCAGGAGAAACCTATGATCGATCTGTGGAACCCACTGAAACATTGTGAATAACTTTGATGGGGAAAATAGATTAGAAAAAAGGAATAGAAGGATATGCTGATGGAGCTTGATGAAGCAGCAGAGGAAAGGGTGCCTGAATACTGGCATAAATCTGGAGGGCCGAATGGTCTGTTTCTACACTGTCATCTACATCTATGGATTCACCAGTCTGTCATGAAGTCTGCCAATGTTATTCTGCTTTGATTCCTCATTGAAATGTAGTAACGGGAATTTTTACTGTGTACGGTTTTACTTAAGGAGGGATGTACTTTCACTGGAGAACTTCAGGGAAGGTTCACATGGGTCACTCCTCGAATAAGGGGCTTGTCCTGTGAGGAACCTGGGGTTGATACCTTGTGGAGTAAACAAGACTGAGACCTGAGTCTGTTGAGACAAATAAGATTCTGAGGGGGCTGGACAGGGCAGATGGTCAGAAGATTCATCCCTTAGCTGGGGAATCTAGAGTGAGGGGGCATGGTTTAAAAGTAAAAGAGGTCTCTCATTTCAAACAGAGATGAGGAGGAATTCCTTTTTTTAGAGGTTCATGCGAGATTGGAATTGTGTCCCCGAAAGGCTAGCCATTGAATTCCTTCGAGTTTGGATTTAGGTAGAGTTTTGACAGATAATGTTTTTGAGGGTTATTTTGGGGGTCCAAAGAGAAAAGTGGAGTTGTAGCCACAATCAAGTTAGCCATGATCATGGTGAATGGCAAAGCAGGGTCGAGGGGCTGAATGGTCTATTCCTAGTCCTAATTTTAACATTCAATGGAAAGTATAAGGTTGAATCGAGATCGACATTGAAACCGTGTCAGTTTGGACAATAAACCCAATTAAAAAACCCAGTTCCACTCTAATTTAGTTGGTTGATACGTTCTGCAGAAGGAGACATCATGACTGCATCAACATTTTCAGAAAACCAATTTATCATTTGATGTTTCAAAAAGGATCAAACTATTTACTAAGACGTTTCCTGGATTGGAGTGTATTTGCTATAAGGAAATGTAGGACAAACTTAGACTGTTTGCGCTAGAGCGTTGGAGGCCGAGGGGTGACCTGAAAGAAGTATATGAAATTATGAGAGGCATGGATAGGGTGTATTGCTGGAGTCTGTTTCCCAAGATGGAAATATCAAATACTGGGGGTATAATGTGAGAGGGGGAATGTTTAAAGGAGATGTGCAAGGCAAGTTTTTTACATAGAGGGTGGCAAATGCGTGGAACGTGCTGCCAGGGGAGGTGTTGGAAGTGGATATGGTGACAATGTTTAAGAAGCATTTAGACAGGCACATGAACAGGCAGGGAATAGAGAGATACTGACAACGTGTAGGCAGATGGGATTAGTTTCGAATAGCATCATGGTCAGAATAGGCCAAAGGGCCTGTTCCTGTGTTGTACTGTTCTACGCAAATCTGTGCTCACTTGTTTTTGATCTTTTCATGAGTGGGTACAATTTTTCCCTGTCAGCTCTGCCCAGATTTCTCATCATTTCAAAAAGCTCAATCAAATATTCTCTTAGCCTTTTTCACTCCAAGGCCCAACTTCACTAATCTACATAACTGAAGTTTCTAATCCTTGGAAACATTTTCATAAACCTCTTTGCACTCACTTCATGCATCCCTAAAATGTGGAGGCCAGAACTAGACCCAATACTACAGCTGAGGTTGAACTAGTGTCATGTAACACTTCAGCAAAACCTCCCTTCTTGTAGTCAATGCCCCTCTCAATAAGACACAGGATACAATTTGCTTTGCTAACTGTTTTCTTCACCTGTCCTGCCATCTTTAACAAAAACAAAAATTGCTGGAAAATCTCAGCAGGTCTGGCAGCATCAAAGAATCACAGAATCCCTGCAGTGTGGAAGCAGGCCATTCGGCCCATCAAGGCCGCATCGACTCTCAAAAGAGTGGCCGACCCAGACACCTGCCCCCCTCGCCACTCCTACCCCACCCAATCCCTGTAACCATGCATTTCCCATGGCTAATCCACCTAACCGAAACATCCCTGGGCACTATGGGCAATTTAGCATGGCCGATCCAACTAAACTTCACATCTTTGGACTGTGGGAGGAAACCGGAGCACCCAGAGGAAACCCACACGGACACGGGGAGAATGTGTAAACTCCACACAGACAGTTGCCCGAGGGTGGAATTGAACCCAGGTCCCCTGGCGCTGTGAAGCAGCAGTGCTAACCACTGAGCCACTGTGCCACCCACATCTTTAGAGAGAAATTAGAATTAATATTTTGGGTCCAGTGACCCTTCTTCAGAACTGCAAAACGCAAAAACCCTATTTTCTCAAATACATTGGGGAAAGAATCAGAAATCTGTACGAAACAATAAAATTTCAATAACAATAATGATAAAAGCCAAACCAAACTGGGATGGTTTTCAGTGGTTCTGTGATTGGAGTATGTCTCAGAAAAATATTAATAATGTGTAACAGTAGAGCCCTTTTTGAAACATGAGCATGAGCCGCTTTTCCAACTGTCTCCCTGGCTGATGAGATGACCCATGACTTGTGATTGCCAATCAAGATTCGATGTGGTTTCCAATCTCTGTTGGTGGCAATATTTTATAGCATACCCCTACAATTTGGTGGTCCTCCTTTGGACATAGTGTCGCCCCCATCTTCTCAAGCAGCACCCCTCCCGCGCCATTCTCTCCACCCCCATCATGACTCCCTCGAAAGGGTCCAGAAAGGATTGACAAGGATGTCGCCGAGAATAGAGCCGGAATCAAAAGGGGTATAGATGAGGTGAATAGCAAAGGTCGCTTCCCTAGGGTGGGGGAATTCAAAACTAGAGGGCATATTTTTAAACTGAGAGGGAAAAGATTTAAAAGGGACCTGAGGGGCAACTTTTTCACACAGAAGGTGGTTCCTATGTGGAATGAACTGCCAGAGGAAGTGGTAGTTGCAGGTTCAGTTACAACATTTAAAAGACATTTGGACAGGTACATGAATAGGAAAGGTTTAGAGGGATAGGGACCAAATGCAGGAAAATGGGACTAGAAACTTAGTCAGCATGGACAAGATGGACCAAAGGGTCTGTTTCCATGCTCTATGACTCTATTAATGACGCAATCCAGGATGGATGCACAGTTCTTCACTAAACTGTTGTACATCAGAAGTGAGATCCTGAACGCAAGATCAAGGTGAGAATGGCCACAGATGTGGACACAAGGGTATTGTGATTACGTTAGGTCAATATGGATCTTGTTTCAGTCAAAGGGCCATGTGTGTTCTACTCCGACTCTGAAGACAGAGCATCAAAATCCAAGTGGACACTCCCATCTCCAATACTGCTGGACTGTCAGAGATGCTGCCTTTCCCATCTGTCCCCTCTGGGGGACGCACAAGATCCTAACAAGGATTCTCAGGAGTCCTCCCCAGCAGTACAGGCCAACATTCACCCTTTTACTAACACTTTAAACCAGGTAAGCTGGTCAATCATTCCCTGCTGAGGGAGCTGGATGTGTGCGCGAGTCAGCTGCCCTGCTTCCTTGCCAGTGACTGCACCTTCAGGAGTACTCCATTCACCATAAAGCGCTTGGGGGACATCCCAGGGATGAGAGAGGTGCTTTAGAAATGCAGATCTTTCTTACTGTCATGTCATGCTACTGCACTCACAGATTGACTTGATGCAATAACGCTAGTCGACAGAATCAAGGCTGTGGAGAGTCCGGGGACGTTTTAGGTGGAAAAACAGAAGCGAAGGTCGCAACTGAACTGAAAGGCAAAGCCATCACGGGCGGCTCCTGGTGAAGGCGTAACGCTGTAACATTCCTTACCTTCTGACCCTGTCATCGAGATTTTTGAGATGCTCAGGTATGTTGTTCCTAAGGGGTGGCTTTTCACAGCACTCTTCCTGAAAGTAGTGACCAGAAAAGATCTTAGTGACCTGTTGTCAGGGCAAGGGCGGTGGGGGTGGTTTCTGTTGAACTAGACCTCTTAGCATTTTAAAACACCAAGTATGCTCTGACATGTCCCACAGCTGCTACAGTCACTGTGAACTCTAATGAATGGAGGGTATTTGCGAACTGCATTAGTTAATTTTCTGACTATCGCCTCGAGGGATAGAAGGAAGGTTTGAGAGAGGTTATGGCGGCCAAGATTGACACCGACAACCGTTGTAACCTGTACAGCATTTGAAGAATGTTTGCGGCCCACTCCCCAAAATCTAAGTAATAGAACCATAAAATTGTACAGGAGGTCCATCTGATCCTCATGCCTGTATTGACTTCCGAAACAGCTATCCAGTTAGTTCCACTCTCCGGCCCTATCTCCGTCGTCCTCTAAATGCAGCCCTTTCACATATATATCCAGCTCTTTTGTACTCCAAATCCCAACAACTCTCCGAGGAAAGAAGTTTCTCCTCATCTCATTCCTTGCTGACAATCTTGAAATTGCGACCCCCTAGTCACCGACACAAACAGAACATCCCTGTCAAAACTGTTCATTATTTTGAACGCCTCAGTAAGGTCACCTCTTAATATTCTCTGCTCCAAGAAGGATAAGCCCAACCTCTCCAATCTTTCCTTGTGTCTAAAATCCCTCATTCCTGATATCATTCGAGTAAATCTCCTTTGTACTCTCTCTAGGACTTTAACGTCCTTCCTTAAATAAGGTGTCCAGTATTAAACACAATACTCCGAATATAGTTTGGTCAATGATTTGTAGGGGTGCAGCATCATTTCCTTGCTTTTACGCTCTTATGCCCCTATTTGTAAACCCAAGGATCCTATGAACCTCCTTAACAACTATTCCAACTTGCCTGGTCACCTTCAGAGAATTATATACTTGAAACCTGAGGTCCCTCCACTTCTGTACTCCCCTCAAAGCAGTACCATTGAGCCTGTATTGCTTCTCCATGTTTCTCCAACCAAAGTGCATTACCTCACATTTCTCTGCATTGAAATTCATCTGCCAGGTATCTGCTCATTTGGCCAACCTGTCAATGTCCTTCTGAAGTCGCTCAGCATCCTCCCTCACAACTCACTATTCTCCCTAGCTTAGTGTCATCTGCAAATTTAGAGATTTGGCCCACAACACCCATCTCCAAATCATTTATAGAAATCAGAAAAAGCAAGACTCCCCACACTGATTGCTAGGGAACACCACTTTCAACTTGGCTCTAGTCTGACCCAGGTCCATCTATACCTTCCCTCTGCTTGCTATCTTTTCATCATTTTCTAATTCACGTTCCAAGGACCCATCAATCCCAAACATTTCCAATTTGCTAACCAACCTGCCATGTGGCACCATACCAAATGCTTTCTGAAAGTTCAAAAATACAACATCCACAGCCACTACCTGAGTCACCTCTTCAATGAACTTGATTCAATTTGTCAGGCATGACCTACCCTTGACAAAGCCATGTTGACTGTCGAGTATAAACTTATTTTTCTCTAAGTGCATATTTATCTTATCCCATATTATGGCCTCCATCAGTTTCCCCACTATTGATGTCAAACTGACAGGTCTGTAGTTTCCTGAGTTATCCTTAGAGCCTTTCTTAAACAACGGCGTCACCTTTGCAATCCCCTGGGACTAATCCTGCATTCGGAGGGGCCCGGAAATTTTCTATCAATGGCTCCACAGTTTACTCCCTTACCTCCCTCAGCAATCTGGGATGCATCCCATCCGGGCCTGGCAACTTCTCTACTTGGAGTGCTGCCAGCATTTTTAGCACCTCTTCTTTAATTATCCTTATACTGCTCAGTTGCTCATTACCCACATTTTCAACTGAGACATGGTCACCATTTTAGTAAAGACAGAAGCCAAGTACTCATTTAGTAGCTTTGTCATAGCCTTTGGTTCAGTGAGTGGCTTATCCTGCCTCACTCTACCCTTCAGTAATCTTTTACTATTAATATGTTTGAACAACATTCTACTGTTTGTTTTAGCACAGCCTACCATCCTTTCCTCTGGCTTCCTCTTAGCCTTCCTTATTCCTGTCTTAGCCTCTCTCTTGCATTTGAGATGCTCTTCCTGATTTTTATTGATATAATTATTCTGGTGCGCATCATATGTGATGTGCAACAGCGAATGTGTCAGTCTCTTCATCCCAAGGTTAGTGAACCTGTGGAATTCTCTACCACTGAAGGGGGCAGATGCCGGGTCACTGAATATGTTCAGGAATGAGACAGATAAACGTTTAGATTTTAATGGCATCAAGCAGTATGGAAGAAAACAGGTATGTGACATTGAGATCAGCCGTGACTATACTGAATAGCTGAGCAGGCTCGAGGGGCCGAATGGCCTACTCTGGCAGCTAGTTTCTACGTTTCTTCCTTCGCACCGTTACGTTTGTCGAAACAGTGGTTCCCCATGTCCGCCCATGTGCCGACGCTGACCAATTTATGGACTGGGTAATATGAAACAATGAGCTTGGTAACATTCTCCATTATTGTCCGTTGATTATCAATTTTAATGCGACAGGCAAGCTGCTGATTTCAGCAACCATGTTTATTGGGACTGGGTCAGGGGGTGAACTTCTATTCTAAGTGCCCCCATAACAACCTGCCACAGCAACCCCTCCTCCCAGTCTCTTCCAAAAACATATACTGTGGTGGGGGGAGCAGACTGTAAAATCCAGCTGTACTTACAGGAGTCTGCAAGGCAGCATTGGCTTCTACAGCCTTCCCAGCTGGCAGAGTGAAAGAATTAACCTCTCACTTACCGTTCGCACACCGTGAAACGAATACTCTCACACAAGGAAGGAAACTGCGGAGAAAATCAACGCAAACCATGACTTTGTCGATAGCTCAGCAACTTCCCCAAATCCCAAAGAACACCACCAGTCCTGTCCCAACAGAGCAGTGATTTGTTTATGAGAAACCTGACTTCATTCCAAGTCCTTTCCCCTTCTCTTTCAGAGTCATCCCGTCCATCGCTCTGAGCCCCCTGGTCAACACTCCTCCGCATTATTGCCTCAATGTTGAATACTTCGAGCTGATTCCCCCACTGCAGCCCAGTAGGGTGGGAGTTGGCTCTCAATCTACCCTATCAACCCACTTTGGAAACACTCCGACTAGATCGGGTAGCACCAGTGGCTCAGTGGTTAGCGCTGCTGTCTCACAACGGCAGGGATCCTAGTTCGATCCCAGTCTCGGGCGACAGTCTACGTGGGATTTGCACATTCTCCCCGTGTCTGTGCAGGTTTGCTCCGGTTTCCTCCCACAGTCCAAAGATGTGCAGGTTAGGGTGGCTTGTCCATGCTAAATTGCCTGTAGTGTCCAGGGATGTGCAGCTTAGGTAGGTTAGCCATAGGAAATTCTCGGTTACAGGAATAGGGAAGTGGGGGGCTGATCTGGTTGGGTTGCTCTTTGGACGGTTAGTGTGGACTCAATGGGCCAAATGGCCTGTTTCCACACTGTAGGGATTTTACGATTTGTCTTTGTCAGATGTTAGCAGATTTTCCCCTTTTAGGTCTCCCATATGAAAGGAAACACAAGGCCAGTCCACACACTTCTTCATCGTATAACCCTTTCAGCCCCGCTGACTCTCTGCTGGTCAAGTTGCCATTAAATAGCTGAACAGATCCATTTGGCATTCTCCTGGTTTTACCTCTATTAATTAAAACTTATGCCAGGGTTAAGATTAATACCAATGTGTTAACTCTTTCACGCAAGCAGCAGCTCCACGGGCAGTTATCACTGCTGCTCTGTGCAGACCCACTAACCCTCACCCTGTGTGACTAGCAAGTGCTGGTTTGGGATCAAGAAGGGATCGTGTGAAACTCACCCTGCTCTTCAGGTAGATCACTTGGTTCCATTCAGGATTTACATGGTTTTCAATAACCTTCGTCACTACCTGCAAGGAGGATAGAATGTCAAATTCCTACCTTTCACCAGCCTTATTTTCCCATTAAATCCCATTTAACCCCCAAAGTTTTGAAGACCCGCACAGAAAAGCCACAACTGAATTACTAAGTGCAGTTCTGGTCATCACAATATAAAGAAGACGTGTTTACACTGGGTGCATAGAAGATTTACCAGGATGCTGCCTGGGCTGGAAGGTCTGAACTATGAGGAAAGATTGGGTAGACTGAGATTATCTTCAGCAGCGAAGGTTGACAGGGGACCTGACCTGAGGTGTGTACAGTAATGAAATGGCATAGAAAGGATGGATAGGCAGGCACATTTCCCATCAGTACAGGGGACAACAACCAGGGGAGATAGATTTAAGCTAAGAGGCAGAAGGCCAACTGGAGAGTTGAGGAGAAGAATTTTTTTCACCCAGAGGGTGGTGGGAGCCTGGAGCACATTTCCTGAAAAGGTGAGTGAGACAGAATCACTTGTAATATTTAGCAGTATCTAGGCATTCACTTGTCATAGCCTCCAGGACTACGGGCCAAGAGGTGGAGAAAAGAGATTAGTGTAGTCAGATTTCTGTTGACTGTTGCAGATATGATGGGCTGAATGATCTCCTTCGGAGCAATAACTGTCTCTGAGTCTATGAGATGGAGGAACGGTGAACCAAGTTCCGGTGGAGTGCGACTTTTGTAGCTTGCATGAGGCTGCACTTGGCGGTGACGGAAATAAAAAGCAGGAGTGCTCGAAATACTTAGCAGGTCTGGCAGCCTCTGTAGAGAGAGAAAAACAGTTAACCTTTCGGGTCTATCAGAACTGGGGAAGATCAAAAAAAAAGGCAGTGGGTTTGAGATGGGAGTGAGTGTGACAAGGACGAAAAGGGAAAGTCTGTGATCAGGTGGAAGACAGGAGTGACTGAATAGCCCCTCCAGGGCCATCGTGAACGGAGACGGGGCAAGAAAATAAACAAAACATGCCTGGAGGAGGTGTGCTGCTGATTGAAAGAAGAAGAAACAAAGAGAAATCCCAGAACAGGAAAATAAAATGGGGGACAGAGACTGTGGTTGTGAATTGCTGAAGACAACATTGAGTCCAGATGGCAGGAAGATGCCTAAGTGAAAGTTGAGATGGCTTTCCTCATGCTTCATTTGAGTTTCACTGAAACGGGAACATCAGCCCCAAATGGGCGACGCAGGCCCTCTGTACATCAGCAGGAATTACACAATGAGTTTTCATTTGAGGTGCAGCAAGTCAAACCTGTGACTGCCAGCTTGAGCCTGGCATATCCAAGGGAACACCAACCCAATAAGGTCCCTCCAAGGTCACGCACCAGTTCAACTCAGAAACATATCCTGGCGAAATCGTGGAATGCACCCCCCATCCCCCGCACAGCACTCTGAGTGCGCCTACACTGCACAGACTGCAACAGCAGGAGGAAAGCAAGACCAGCATTTATAACACACTTATTGTGACTGCTGCATTTTATAGCCAATTAAATATCCGCTGAAAGTTAATCACTGTTGTAATGTCAGAGATGTGGGAGCCAATTTGTGCAGCAATGTGATAGGCAAGTGGTTTGGAAGTGATGAATTTAGAGGACTATTGAGATAGGATTGGAGAGTGGGACTAGGTAGGTAGCTCTTTTGGGAACCAGTACAGACATGATGGGTTGAATGGTCTCCTTCTGTACCGTAGAATTCATCGATTCTATGATAATGAACAGATAATCAGATTTTTTTGTGATGCCAACTGAAGGATAAATGACATCTAGAACACCAGGGAGATTATCTCTGTTCTTCAAAATAGCGTCGTGGGATCTTTTACAATGGTTCATCCGAGCAGGCAGATGTTTAAACTCAGTTTAAGGTCTCAGCGAAAAGCCAGCACCTCAGACAGTGCAGCACTCCCTTGGCGCTGCACTGTGGTATCAGCCTGGATTTTTGTGCACAAGGCATAGGACCTGGAGCCCTGCAATTCAGAAACAAAGGAGCTACCCACTGAGTCAATGAATGATACAGGTGGCTTACCAACACTTTCTCAGGGGCAATGACAGTAAATGGGCAATAAATACTGGCCTTGTCCCTAGCCCAGGGTTGAATAATGGAACCTCCAACCTGCTACTGCCCCTTCACCCTATCCTGGGACACTCCCCCCTACTCAGTGCACTGAGACACTCCCTGAACCTTCAGAAAAACTGGGCGGAGCAGGAGGATTCAAATTCCAGTCTCTCCTGATCCCTGCAACTCAAGATATGCACGCTATCCAAACCCGCTGCAACACCGGGCGGCCCAGCGATGAAGGATTGCGCGTGGCTCACCTTCTTGCCAGCGAAACTGACTTCCAGAAACGAGTCGACACCTTCCTTATCCTTGTCTACCCCGAACACGTGCTTCAAGTTCGACATCAGCCCTTTGGACACTGGAAATTAAGGAACACAATGAATGCTTCAGCCAACAAGCGTTTGCGCCCACGGTGCCCCTCTCTACTCCATCAGCCACATGCGACGTTGCATTGCTCAGAATCTACCTCCCTTGCCCCTTCCACATCTCCTCGTCTAGGGACTGGTGTGGCACAAATGATGGATAGCTGGCTTGCAGCCAGCTTCATATCTCAAGTTATTTTTGTCCGCTTTCATCCAGAACAAAAACAGGAGCCAAGTGAAAGCGGCAGGCGAGGCAGGAAAGAGAGAGACTGTCGTGATCAGCTCTGGAAGGAGTCCGGCTGCCCAGCACCACATGTGAACAGCTGACACTCGGGCACAGGGCGCCTGTCGATCTCTGTCGAGACTCCCAAACCAAACGGTTGAGACAGAGAGAGGACACAAGACACATGAAGCTGCAGTGGAAGAGGCATAATATCAGCAGTCTGATAATCAACAATCCAGAGGCTCACAATGATGCCCCATAGACGTGGGTTCAAATCCTGACCATGCCAGGTGGTGGGATTTAAATTTCCTGAATAAATGTGGAATATATACTTTGTATCGGTCATGGTGACCGTAGCTAATGAGCGTTGATTGTCATAAGAACTCAGCGACTAGTGGAATTAAACTGAACTGACTGAACAAAGATGTGGAATTGAAGGCTAGCCTCAGTGAAGATCATGAATCCTAGTCATTGCTGTAAAATTCCAGTAAGCTCACAACTGTCTTTAAGGAACATGCGGTCCTTACCAAGCTGGGTGGACACTCGGCATCATGCCCACAGCAATGCGGTCATCTCTTTGCAACTCTCAAGGGGTAACAACAGGTGGGCAAATAAATGCTGGCCTCGCCTTCGAGACGCACATCCCCATAAAAGAACAAAAACAAGGAGGGACAAAAACAAAACTGCTGGAGAGGCTCAGCAGGTCTGGCAACTTCTGTGAACGAGAAAACAGAGTTAACATTTCAGATTTGGCGAAACCTTCCTGTTCTCAGCTGCCAATTTTGTTTTTGTTCCAGTATCCGCAGTTTCTTTCGGTTTTTAAAAACAAGGAAGGGATGGGGGAGCCGATGGCAGTGGACAGGATGCTGTAAGACTCAGCCGGGATGTGCCCTCACTCTCGAAATCTAGCACTCGCATGAAAGCAATGCTTCTCTGTGACGTACTGTGCGAGATGTCCTCCGCTCGATAGATCTTCACCTCAAAAGTGACCCATCGGGAAAGGATACCTGCTGGCTGCAGTAGGTTACTCTCAACATCATCCTCTTCATTAGTCCCTCTCTTGTCTATCTGGTGCAGCAAAGGGATTTCGATTACAACAAAAAAAAACATTGCTTTGGCGCCTTTTCTTTTACCAAACAATTCCCAACAATGAAAAGGAAAGCATTCATCTCCTTGCTCGCAGTCTTTAATTCGTAATTGCAACCAATCCCCTTTTTTCCCTTTTCATCTTATAATCCCTATCATAAGGATACTATTCAGCTGGAAGAGATTTACCAGGATGCTGCCAGAAATGGAGGGTTTGAGCTATAAGGAGAGGCTGGGACATTTTTCACTGGAGCGTAGGAAGTTAAGGGGTGACCTTATAGAGGTTTATAAAATCTTGAGGGGTATAGATAAGGTGAATGGTAGATCTCTTTTCCCTAGGGTGGGGGATTTCAAGACTAGGGGGTATATTTTTAAGGTGAGAGGAAAAAGACATGGGCAGCATTTTTTTTTTACACAGAGAGTGGTTCATGTGTGGAGTGAACTTCCAGAAGAAGTGATGGATGTGGGTACAGTTTCAACGTTTAAAAGCCTGAGGAGCTGGTGTAGGGGAGTAGGATTCACATTTCTGGATCATTAGAATCTGTTTTGGGGTAGAAGTGAGCTGTATAAGAAGGACGGATTGCACTTGGATTGGGAGGGCACTAATACACTGGCGGGGAGATTTGCTAGAGCTGCTCGGGAGGATTTAAACTAGTAAAGGGCAGGGTGGGGTGGGGCTGGGAAGTACCCAGGGAGATGGCAAGGGAAGAGATCAGTCTGAGACTAGTACAGTTGGGAAAAGGAGTAAGTCAAACAGTCAGGGCAGACAGGGACAAAGCAGAGAACGAGGTAGGACTGATAAACTAAACTGCATTTATTTCAATGCAAGAGCCCCAACAGGTAAGGCAGATGAACTCATGGCATGGTTGGGAATATGGGATATCATAACGATTACAGAGATGTGGCTCAGGGAAGGGCAGGACTGGCAGCTTAATGTTCCAGGGTAGAGATGCTATAGGGAGGATACTGGTAGGTGGGGTGGTGGGGGGCGGTGGTGGTGCAAGGGAGGATGGGGAGTGGCATTTTTGATTAAGGATAACATAACTGCTGTACTTAGGGAGGATATTTCTGGGAATACAGCCAGGCAAGTTATTTGGGTGCAACAGAGAAATAAGAAAGGGATGATCACCTAATTGGAATTGTACTATAGACCCCCCAGTAGTCAGCGGGAAATTGAGAAACAAATTTGTAAGAAGATCTCAGTTATCTGTAAGAATAATAGGGTGGTAATGGTAGGGGATTTTAAGTTTCCCAACATAAACTGGGACTGTCATAATGTTAAGGGCATGGATGGAAACAAATTTGTTAAGTGTGTATAAGAAAATTTTCTGATTCAGTATATGGATGTGCCTACTAGAGAAGGTGCAAAACTTGACCTACTCTTGGGAAATAAGGCAGGGCAGGAGACTGAGGTGTCAGCAGGGGTACACTTTGGGGCCAGTGACCACAATTCTATTAATTTCAAAATTGTGATGGAAAAGGATAGACCAGATCTAAAAGTTAAAGTGCTAAATTGGAGGAAGACCAATTTTGACAGTATTAGGCAAGAACTTTCAAAAGTTGACTTGGAGCGGTTATTTGCAAGTAAAAGGACGGCTGGAAAATGGGAAGCCTTCAAAAGTGAGATAGAGAGAGTCCAGAGACAGTGTGTTCCTGTTAGGGTGAAGGGCAAGGCTGATAGGTGTAGGGAATGCTGGATGACTGGAGAAATTGAGCTTTTGGTCAAGAAAAAGAAGGAAACGTTTGTCAGGTATTGGCAGCAGGGATCGAGTGAATCCCTAAAACAGTATAAAGGCAGTAGGAGTATATTCAAGAGGGAAATCAGGAGGGCAAAATGGGGACAAGAGATAGCTTTGGCAAACAGGGTTAAGGAGTTTTCAAAGAGATTCTACAAATACATTAGAGACAAAAGGGTAACTAGGGAGAGAATAGGGCCCCTTAAAAATCAGCAAGGCCACCTATGTATGGAATCGCAGGAGAGAGGGGAGATACTAAACGTATATTTTGCACCAGTGTTTACTTTGGAGAGGGATATGGAAGATAGGGAACGTGGGGAAATAAACAGCGACACCTTGAAAAACATCCATATTACAGAGGAGGAGGTGCTGAACATCTTAAAACTCATAAAGGTGGATAAATCCCTGGGACCTGATCAGGTGTACCCTGGAACTGTTGTGGGAAGCGAGGAAAGAAATTGCTGGGTCCCTTGCTGAGATATTGTATCACCGATAGCCACAGGTGAGCTGCCGGAAGACTGGAGTTTGGTTAACATGGTGCCTCTATTTAAGTGAGGTGGTAAGGAAAAGCCAGGGAACTACAGACCGTGAGCCTGACATCGGTGATGTGCAAGCTGTTGGAGGGAATCCTGAAGGACAGGATTTACATGTATTTGAAAAGGCAAGGACTGATTAGGGATAGTCAACATTGCTTTGTGGGTGGGAAATCGTGTCTCATTAATTTGATTGAGCTTTTTGAAGAAGTAACGAAGAGGATTGATGAGGGAACAGTGGTAGATATGAACTACACGGACTTCAGTAAGGCGTTCGACAAGGTTCCTCATGGTAGACTTTATAGCAAGGTTAGATCACACAGAATAGAGGGAGAACTAGCTATTTGGATACACAACTGGCCCAAAGGTAGAAGACAGAGGGTAGTGGTGGAGGGTTGCTTTTCAGACTGGAGGCCTGTGACAAATGGGGTGCCAACAGGATCAGTGCTGGGTGCACTGTTTTTTGTCATTTACATAAACAATTTGGATGTGAACATAGGAGGTATGGTTAGTAAGTTTACAGATGACACCAAAATTGGAGGAGTGGTGGACAGCGAAGAAGGTTACCTCAGAAACAATGGGATCTCAATTAGATAGGCCAACGGGCCGAGAAGTGGCAGATGGAATTTAAATAAATGTGAGATGCTGCACTTCAGAAAGATAAATCAGGGTAGGACTTATACATTTAATGGTAAGGTTCTGGGGAGTGTTGCTGAACAAAGTGACCTTGGAGTGCAGGTTCATAGTTCATTGAAAATGGAGTTGCAGGTAGATAGGGTAGTGAAGAAGGTGTTTGGTACGTTTGCCTTTATTGGTCAGTGCATTGTGTATAGGAGTTGGGACGTCATGATGAGGCTGTACAGTACATTGGTTAGGGCCACTTTTGGAATACTGCATTCAATTCTGGTCTCCCTCAGACGGGAAGGATGTTGTGAAACTAGAAAGGGATCAGAAAAGTTTTATGATGATGTCGCCGGAGTTGGAGGGTTTGAGCTTTAGGGAGAGGTTGAAGAGACTGTTGCTATTTTCCCTGGAGAGTCTGAGGCTGAGGGGTGACCTTATAGAGGTTTATGAGTGGCATGGATAGAGTGAATAGACAAGGTCTTTTCCCTGGGGTTGGGGAGTCCAAAACTCGAGGGCATAGGTTTAAGGTGAGAGGGGAAAGATTTAACAGGGACCTGAGGGGCAACATTTTCACACAGAGGGTGGTGCATGTATAAAATGAGCTGCCAAAGGAAGGGGTGGAGGCTGGTATGATTACAACATTTAAAAGGCAAGTGGATGGGTACATGAAGAGGAACGGTTTAGAGGGATATGGGCCAAATGCTGGCAAATGGGACTAGGTTTATGTAGGATATCTGGTCAGCATGGACAAGTTGGACCGAAGGGTCTGTTTCCATGCTGTATATCTCTATGACTCTTATATTTAAATAAGTACATGAATAAGAAAGGTTTGGAGGGATAAATGCAGGCAGGTGGGGTTGGTTTAGTTTGGGAAGATGGTCAACATGGACTAGTTGGACCGAAGGGTATGTTTCATGGTGTACGACTCTATCTCCTTTTGCTTCTTCAGTGCTGTGGTGGCAGTGAGTGACTGGAGTAGTTTCAGTTCACACTCATTGTCCTAACCCTTTCCAAATGCACTTCCTTCTACACTCACCCCCAAATCACTGAGAACACCACCACCAACCATAGCTGTACCTCAACTGGCTGTTAATTATATTCAGGTGGCTTAAGAAATGCAGGGTGTCTTGCGTAAAGTTTACAAATGAACAAAGTCTAAGCCACAGTTACATTTTTTGACTGCCTGGCCCTCTGGGTCTTTGACCATCTATTCACCATTCCCTCACCAAAACCTAGGATGCTGTTGTTCTGATTCAATCCTTTACGGTCTCACATTCTGACCAATTCCCCTAGCAGCGCTCTCTCGAAGACAGTGAACATAAGCCAGTGCACAACTGATCTTGTGAAGCTCCTATAGCTTCCAGTTCCCTCCATGGTCTCTCTCCCTGTGCTTATCCTGTCCTCAAAGCCAACTTCTATCCCCTGAACCACTTGGCCGCCATTTTCCCTTTCCCTGAACAACATGTCCACCATTTTCCCTTCCTGGCTCCTGTACTGGATGGCATTGCAAATTATTCTCAACGTCAGCCACTTGCCCACTCTCCCCCTCAAAACCATATCACCAGCCCAGACACCTCCAAAGGCCCACCCTGTCCCTGCAAACATCCACTTTTCATATCCAACTTCGCCAGCCCATCTGAGGTCTTTGAGTGTATTTGTGCAACTAGCTGCTTGTTTGGAACTCTCCAGGTCAGGTTTCTACACTGAAGCCATAGTCTCCATGTACTTTTTCTCTGGAACCTGAGAGATGGTCGATCACAATATCCCCCTCCAACACCCAGTCCTTCTCTTGACTCTTGGTGGGACTCAGCCCATGCTTAAACTGGACATCCCCAGTGCCCGTAATTTGAGTGCTCCTTCCTCATCTGCACACAGGCCATAAGACACAGGAGCAGAAGTAGGCCATTCGGCGCAGCAGGTCTGCTCTGGCATTCAATAAGATCATAGCTGATCTGACAATCCCACGTCTCCACTTCCTGCCTTTTCCCCAAAAACCATGATTCCCCTTCATTAAAAATCTGTCTGTTTCAGTTTTGAGTATACATCACGACCCATCTCCAATTTTCCAATGCCTCTTCTGACCCCTTTATCAATCTCAGCACTGCCAGACTAACTGCCTGAGGGCTAATCCTAGACCAGCCACAGTTAAGCCATCCCTGATGGTCCAGGAGAAGGCATGGTTGTGAAATGGAATGGTTCTGTGTGCATGTTTATAGATGAATAAGGGTGGAGGTGAATTTGGGAAGTGGACAGCAAAGAATTCATTCAGTATCCTATGACAAACTGTTGTACCACGCTGCTGCAGATGGAGAAACACATGCCATTTTCAAAGCGCTTCATCCCCACAATAACCACGTAATCTCTCTCTTCCTCCCCCCACCAAAACTGGAAACCATCAACGTTCACAGACTCACATTTCACACAGCGGGAAAGTTTTGCAACCACCGACGTGCCAAAGTGCTTTCCAGGCAAGAAGTACTCATAAGGAAGAGATCCACATGACTGGAAAAAGTGCGGTTGTGCTCACCGGTGCTTCGCTCCCTGCTGTCAGGACAATAATGCTGACTTTCAGGTATCCCTTGGCCATGGACTGCACATCATCCGGCTCGTACAGGAGTAACCACTTCCGCAAGACTGCGTGATCTGTGACAGAATACCGCCGTAACACAGTTACAAAGAACTCAAACAGCAGGGGGACCGATTGGTTTGTGCTGGCCCCAGTACTCCACATGAGCTGCCATTCCACCCCTTTCTCCCTCACAACTTTATTCAGCTGCAATGCAGTAAAGTATGAGCTGATGCATTTTGACAGGGAGAACATTGAAAGACAACCTAAAATCAGGGGTTTGATTCTAAACAGGAAGCAAGAGTAGAGGGACCTGAGGGTATCTGTGCACAGATTATTGAAGGAGGCAGGAGAGTGAAGAGAGCAGTTAATAAAGCCTACAGTGTGCTCGGCTTTATTAATAGGAGCATAGAGTACAAGAGCAGGGTGGTGATGTTGACCTGGTACAAGACACCTGTTAGACCTCAGCTGAAATACTGTGGCTTTATGCACCTCGGAAAGATGTGAACGCAGTGGAGAGAGTGCAGAAACAATTTGCCAGAATGGTTCCAGGGATGGAGAACTTTAGTTACGAGGATAGATGAAAGAGCTTGGGGCCATTCTCCTTGGAGAGATCTGATAGAGGATTCAAACTCACGAGGGTGTTGGATAGAGAGGGAGAAATCATTCCCACTAGCAAAAGGAACAAGATCAACAGGGATATCAAGGGCCTAGACCCTTCTTAGGCCCGAAACGTCAGCCTTCCTGCTCCTCTGATGCTGCTTGGCCTTCTGTGTTCATCCAGCTCTACACCTTGTTATCTCAGATTCTCCAGCATCGGCAGTTCCTACTATCTCAAGATCAACAGGGCACAGTTTTAAAGTGTTTTTACAAAAGAAGCAAATGTGAGACAGGTTTTTCTGACACAATGAGTAGTTTGAGCACTGCCTGGAAATGTGGTGTAGGCAGAATCAATTGAGACATGAAGAGGGTATTGGAGGATTATTTGGATAGAAATAATGTCTAAGGGTATGGGGGGGGGTTGGGAAGCAGGAAATTGGCAGCAGGTAACAATGCTCATTTGAAGTGCAGACTCAATGGGCCGAACAGCTTTTTTCTGAGCCATGACAGTTCTTAACTCTTCTCTGATTCCCTTTAATATATCTCTGCTATTCCCTTCAACCACTCCATGTGTACTCAGTTTAACTGAATTTATTAATTTTATGCCTCCAGAATTTAGGATCCTCTCCTCTTTAACATCTTCTCTACATCTAACCTATCAAAGCCCTTTATAGTTTTAAAGAACTCTATTTATTAACTCCTCGCATCCAAATCTGAACTACTTCTATGCATGTTGGGTTCCTCTTGATATTTGATGCTCATCTCCAATCAACTTTCTCTCAAGTAGAAAGTTTCCAATTGATCTTGAAGGAATTTTGGAAAAGAGTTCCAGATTTGCACTACTGACCTCACTCCTGAAAAGCCTGGCTCTCCCCTTAAGGTTTTGCTCCCTTAGTCTGGACTCCGACCAACACAGGAAACAGTTTCTCTGTATCCGTAGCCTCTCAAATCCTTCACATACTTTGAATATCTACGTAAGAATATAAGAAACAGGAGCAGGAGCAGGCCTTCAGCTCACTCTGCCATTCAGTATGATCATGACTTTTCACTTTCTTGCTTTCCCCCATTTCCTCTTCTCTTTCTTGGTGCTCAAAAAGCTGTGAATATACCCAATGACCCAGCCACCACTGCTTTCTAGGGAAGAGAGATATCCAAAGATTCTGTGACAACAAATTCACCCTCATCTGCATCTCAATGACCACAGAAATGTCCTCTCAGAATCCATCCTGCCAAGTCCCTTCAGATTTTTTAATGTTCCAATAAGATCACAAATCTCTAAGTGCAAATTTGCATTTTACAAAAATTCATACAGAGGGTGAGGACATCACTGGACAGCGCAGCATTTATTCCCCATACCTTGAGAAGGTGGCAGTGAGCTGCCTTCTTGAAACACTACAGTCCATGTGCTGCAGGGAGACCCACAATACCCTAAGGGAGGGAATTCTAGGATTTTGACCCAGCGACACTGAGGGAACAGCCATTACATTTCCAATTCGGGACAGTGCGGGGCTCGGAGGGGAACGTGCAGAGGGTGGGGTTCCCATGTATCTGCTGTCCTTGTCTTTCCAGCTGGGAGTGGTCATTTGTTTGGAAGGCGTCGTCTTAGGAGCCTTGGTGATCTGCTGGAGTGCATCATGTAGAAGGTACACACTACTGCTACTGAGCGTTGGTGGTGGAGGGAGTGAACGTTTCTGAGTGTAATCTTGTACCGCCCCAATCCTCCACCCTTCCTCAATGCTTTTGGCTGTTTATGGAGGTTTGTTTACATTAAAAATCTTTGTCATCTATAAAGGACCATTCATTTTTATATGAAGGCAGATATCATTTAATTGCAGCCATAACGTATCGGTCACGCACTTCTGTGTCTTAAAGTTGAGAGATGGACGTAAGTGCAAAATTGACCCTCCCATGCAGTGAATGTAGCAACTTGTTCAACCTTTCCTGAAATTAATCACCCTTTAATCTTCTACATTCAAGGAAATATGAGCCGAGACAATGTAACTCGTCCTTATAATTTAAATTCTCTTAGTCTTAAGTCTCTCTCTGACACTATGAAGCGTTTATATTGTCCAGAATGAAGGTAACATTACGAACCTGGCAGATCATAGACAGAGCCGATGTCCAGCTGTAAAGGGAGATATTGTACAAGTTAAAGAAAACTCTTCCTAAATCAAGATGCAAGATTTTAACTTAGCTCTTTCACAGCTTCCACTGGAAGGAGACAGTGACCAGTTAGTTTATTGATCTCTCTCAAAGCCTCAACAATTGGTAGCTGGGCTTGTAATGTTGAAAATGAACCAAGTGCAACTAAACAAAAAAATCAAGGCAAAGACAAAGGCGGAGATTAAAAGCATATTTAAATCAGCTGAATCTTCTCCCCACTCCACACCCTTCTTCAACTTTTGGCTGTTTAGAACATAGAACATAGAACATTACAGCGCAGTACAGGCCCTTCGGCCCTCGATGTTGCGCCGACCTGTGAAAACCAATCTGAAGCCCATCTAACCTAAACTATTCCATCATCATCCATATTTTTATCCAATGACCATTTAAATGCCCTTAAAGTGGGCGAGTCTACTATTTTTGCAGGCAGGGCATTCCACGCCCTTACTACTCTCTGAGTAAAGAACCTACCTCTGACATCTGTCCTATATCTATCACCCCTCAATTTAAAGCTATGT